CATCCCATCCCATCCCATCCCATCCCATCCCATCCCATCCCATCCCAGTGCTGTCCATCCCCTCCCATCCCATCCCAGTGCTGTCCATCCCATCCTGCCCCCGGCACCTGAAGGACATGGTGAACCACACCGCCATCATCATCAGCGTCACGCGCCGGAACTCGGGCGCGAAGCACTGCTGGAAGTTGCTCCAGACCTGTGAGGGGACGTGGGAGGTGATGGGGACACGGGAGGTGGCGGGGACGTGGCGGGTGACAGGACAGGGCGGCCGCGGGGACCCCCGGGCAGCTCCGGCCTCACCTGCTGCGACAGGTTGAGGCATCGGACGAGCCAGCGCCGGTACCATGTCCCGGTGTCCGACTGGATCTCAATGAGCTCGTCCTCCCGCTTGATGGTCTTGATGTGTGTGACCTGGGGGGGACAGTTTGGGGACACCGGGAAGCACCAGCCTCGGCCCTGCCCCACCTTGTACCTCAGTTTCCCCCTCCCAGGTGCTGCTTTTATCCCAGAGCTGGGAATTGCAGCCCCTGCTCCTGGAGGAGCCCCTCCCTCCCAGCTTGGGGTGCTGGGGACCCCGGGGCCCAGCCCTTGGGGGGGTCCTTACCGAGAAAACCCTCTCGGGGTGGCCCTTGGCCCTCATGTTGGTGTCGTGGACCTGCTTCAGCACCATCCAGGCCTCATCGTGCTTCCCGTTCTGTGAGGCAGCATCAGGTCACTCCGGGACACCCCGGACACAGACACGGACATGGACACGGACATGGACCCAGACCACCCCCCTGCAGTCCCTGACTGGGTCCCACCACCCGCCTGGGTCCTGCCACCCACTTGGGGGTCCTCGTGTGGGTCCCTCCACCATCTTCATCACCTCCTTAGTGTCCCCCCACCCGCCTGGGGTCCCTGGCTGAGTCCCATCACTCACTCCGGGGGGTTCCTGCCCAGGCCCTGCCACCCCCCTGGGTGCCCCTCTCTGCGTTCCCCCATTTCCACCACCCACCTTGGGGTCCCTGCCTGAGTCCCCTCATCTCTCCCACCCCCCTGGGTGTCCCTCTCTGGGTTCCCCCATTTCCACCACCCTCCTGGGGGTCCCCGCCCAAGAGCCCCCCACACGGGGATCGCTTCCTAGGTTCCCCCATCTCCCGCCATCCACACTCTGGGTCCCTGATGCACCCCCAGCCCCCCTCCCGGGACACTGCCGTGCCCCACCCCATGGCCCCCCCACCTCCAGGTAGAAGCGGGGACTCTCGGGCATGGTGGTGAGCGCCCCGATGGCGAAGACCGAGGGGAAGGCGCAGACGAGCACGAAGACCCTCCAGCTGTGGAACTGGTACGCGGAGCCCATCTGGAAGCTCCAGCCTGCGGGGACGGGACAGGACACGATGCTGGGGCTGAAACCCGGCGCCCCCCTCACGCTCCACCGGCCCGGGGGGTCCTACCGTAGTGGGGGATGATGGCCCAGGCCATGGCGGAGGCGTAGATGCCCCCGATCATCCAGAACATGCAGAGCCAGCTCAGGTGCTCCCCGCGCTTCTCCTGCGCCAGGAACTCCGAGAAGTAGGAGAAGACGATGGGGATGGAGCCGCCGATGCTGGGGACGGAGGGGAGCGGTGTCACCCCCGCCCCCGTGACCCCTCATGCACGGGGGGGAGCTCGGCCCCCGCTCTGGGGGTCCCACGCGCGGCCGGGGCCCCCTTACCCCACGCCTGAGAGCAGGCGGCAGAAGAGGAAGGTGCCGTAGCCCTGGACGAAGGAGGAGAAGAAGGCGAAGACGCTGTTGACGGAGAGGGAGATGAGGAGGCACTGCCTTCGGCCCAGCCGGTCGGCCAGCCCGCCCCACACGAACGCGCCCACCATCATGCCCAGGTACACGATGAGTCCTGGGGAGGGGGACACGCGGCGAGGTCACTCCCGGGGCACCCAGGGACCTGCGCCCCGAGTCACCGGGCGGAGGGGGACGGCGCTGGCAGCGTGGGGTGGGCAGGGACCCCCTCCCTGGGACACCTGGGTGTCCTTGCAGGGAGGGGACAGAGCCCCGTGTGTGAATGGGGGGTGGGGGTTGTTTCCCTGCTCTGCTCGGGGGGGGGCAGAGGTGCCTCCAGGACCCCCACACCCAGCCCCTCCCCCTGTGC